TATTATATATTAATTATAGGAACTCCTACAATCAAAAGAATCTTTGGGTTCCAATCCCTAATCGATGCAAGATGATTTGAAATGATTGGCTTTAGTGGTGGTTGACATGAATGAATTTTCTGATGAAATAAACATAATGGAAAAGATTATTGGGAAGCCTATTACTTTTAGAGTTTCCAAAAAAGATATTAGTGACTTCATTATTTTTGAGCAGTTAGACTTGTCAATAATTCAAGTTTTTATCATGTAAGTATTCATTTTTATTTCTAAATTAATATTTGATATTTTTATTTTATTGTTAATGTATGTCTAATTATCAAAGGTACCTCTATAAGATATGCAACGAACTTGGTGTCAATGAAAATTATGGGTTCTTATCTCCACTTTTGACCTCCATTGACAAAGTGAATCAAAGAGCTTCTTATATTGAAAATACGATGTATAAGTAAAAAAAGATATGCTGGTTTTTATCAATTATTGAGAGGTATCAAATTTTAAATTCGTTGCTCAATTTATAAAAAAATTTACTTAATGATGTGATATTAATATAAATTAATATATTTTAATTATCATTTGATGCTTCCTATCATTTGCCCGTATGAAAATACTATATACTAGTTTTGTTCACTGAAAAGGAAAGTAAGCAACGACATGAAATCTTTGATTGAATTGTAAGTTTTTAAATAATTCTATTTTGTGTTATTAATAATATATATTTAATATTTTTTAAGTGTGTATATTTGATAAATAGATCTTTAGTGACATATTGAAAATCAGCGAGAATGATTGACAAGAAAAAAAAAGAAATCAAGCAAGTAAATATTTCAAATTTATTTCTTAATTAGAATGAAGATCATAATATTGGTTTAATGAATTTAATTATTTTTATTTTCTTTATAGTGTCCTCAACAATCAGGAAGTGTAGAGTGTGATTATTATGTGATGATTTTTATGTATGAAATTATCACTCAAGGTATTGTTCACTTATTTGATTAGGAAATAATTTGTAAATAACAATTTATAATTATGAAGTTTTTCATATACTTGAGTTATTATTCATGAGTATATTATTATTAAATTTGTAGCACTTCTAAAATTTAGAGCCATATTCTAAGCAAGAGTTGAGATATATACGTAATTTTTGGTCTAGTTTTTTCTTAGAATTAACAGGATTATAGTAAAAAATTTAGATATTTTGTATTGAAAACATAAATTTAGTTCATACATATTCACCAACTATATTTGTATTAGTCTCTAGAGCTGTTGTTTCTTAATTAATGCAGGTTTTATAAGTAAGGAATGTATATAGTTATAAGTGTATGAGTAAAAAATATATAAATATATATATAGTATTTATGGCCACAGTTATTACAATAACTATGGTAAAAAGTCATTTATAGTAACAGTTGTGGATAAAACTGTGGTTATGAATGATTTCTAAAGTAATTTTTTTGTCACTGGTGGTCTCAAACCTGTGGTGAAAGATCTCATTTCTAAAGTAATTTTTTATCACAGGTGATCTCGAACCACAGATCCGAACCCACCTATGGCGAAAAATGATATTTTTCTCCTATTTTTTGCCACAGTGATCTTGGACCTGTGGCGAAAGATGCAATCTTTAATCACAAGTCCGAACCTACCTGTGGCAAAAAATAATATTTTTCACCATTGTATTTTTCGCAATAGGTCAGATGGGACCTGTGATGAAAAATAGTATCTTTTGCCATAGTTTCTTTTGACTTGTGGTGAAAAATGTCTATTTACTATTACAAAATCTTCTACTACACCACATCTTCGATCGCCAAAAATATATTTTAACTGTGGTGAAAAATAATTTTTGTACTAACGAAAGGGAAATGAGAAAGGATATCTGAGGGTATTGTTTGTGTTTTGCGTGTGTGCGCGTGTTTGTGTTTTTAAGGGCATTAAGGTAAATTCACATGGTTAAAAGAAAATGGGACTCTAGTGCACACACAGATATTACACCTTCTTACCCTTGTATGACTGTTAATTAAATATAGTAACATGATGAGATAATGTGTGTGTGTGTGATGTGCCATGTGTATGGAAAATTTCAAGTTATAGGGCTTAATTAGAAATTATAAATTGGTTTAAGTAATAATTAGATTAATAATTTTTTTCATTTATTATTGATCACTAGTAATAATTAACAATGGTATGAACCGAGCCATATTAATTGATGATGACCCATTTAATATTGGAGGGCAAGACCATAATCTCTTAAACCAACTCTCTATCTCTTCAATTTTTCAAGTTTCAACCTTGAAATTTCAAAACACTAAAGTCTCGTTTGATTGTTAAAAAGAATGAAAATGGAATGAATTGAAAAAATTAAAACAAGAATAACTAAATCAGCATTCCCTCTATAGTAAACATGATCAACAAAATTCAATATTATATACTATAAATATAGAAATTATCATATCCTCTAAAATTTTCTTGAATTAAATTACCTTTCTTCTTTATAACTATGTTTATTGATCTATCCTCTTTCACATTTTGATTATCTTATTCTTACCTTTATTTTTTCAACTCATTCCATTCTATTCCTTTCTAATAACTAAATGAGACCTAATGTTTTCTGAAATCATTTAAAAGAGATTCATTGTTTGATTCATTCATTCAATTGATTCCATTTTATTCCCATCTGATCAGGTGCTACTTTGTAAGTTTTATATATATCTAGCTTCATAAATCCAGAGTCTCGACTATTCTTAATCCAAATAAAATACTTTTATTTTATTGGCGTCAATACTTTTGTGCGAATAGTTGTCTACTTATCTTCCCTGCACAAACGTAGCAAATGTATACTGCACAGAACGAAGTGATCACTAGTTATCAAGAAATATTCTTAATTGAATAAGGTATTGGTTTATATATTAATGGTTACTATGATTAAACTGTAGTTGAACCATTTATAATTAATTTAATATAGTTTTTAGTTAAGATGTTAACTTTATATTAGAAATAAAAATTTTATAAAATATTGCAAGGCTCATGAACAAATAAAATTGAGAAACAAGAAAGTGAGAGATTTTTTTTTTCCCTTTTAATCTAGCAAGAAAGCTCAACTTAGAGGTTCAAAATTATTCTAAACTTGTTTAATTTTTAAAAGCACACGTTCGTATGTGTAAAAAGTAATAAAGCACGAGGCACTTTTAAGAGGCTTATTTAAACAAAACTAAAACTCTAAGACTTAAATAAAAAAATAGATAAATAATTTGAGGAACAAAGATTGGTCAGTGGAAGGGGTTAATTCTTCACAACATAATAAATTAATGTTTGAATCTTTATTAAAAAAAGGTATCCACATTTAGTGCTCAATCCTACTTCAAATAAAATTTTTTTTTAAATAATAAATATAATAATGTAAGGCTTAAATAAAATAATTCACCAAAGTTAAAGGGAATGGAGAAAAAGGGGGAAAAGAAGAACACCTCAAGGAAATAGAAAACAAAAGAAAACCGAACGAGTCACACGTCTAGCATGAGAGGCGTGGGATGAATTTGTGGGGTATAAAACCATAAAATAAGGGCGAGGGACAAGAGCATGGGCTCATGGAGTAGTGGGTTCAAATTGCAATTCTTGGTACCGAAGTTTTTAAAATTTCATTTGTTGTTTTGCCTTTAAATTTTTAATTGACCATCGGAATTGGTCCAGTTTTGACCGTTTCTCTTAGAGTCTTTTTTTTTTTTTTTTTGGGGGGGGGTTAATTGGGAACAGATCATAAGCCGGTTCCTGATCCAACTAGGTGAACTAACCGATTTGGTCTAATTTTTTAAACGCAGGTACAAACTTCCAATAAATGGCGTAATTCCCAGATGTTATATATAACAAATTTTTTTATAAGAACGAGAAAATCAACTATTTTTAATTTTTTTAATATGTTTGATTGTTAAAAGAATCTTATAATTCCTACCCAAAAAAATATTATAAATAGGATCTAATATAGTAAATTACTCCTTTCGTTTAAAAATAGAAAGCATTTTTAACTGAATCTCACCCCCAATAAAATAGTTACCTACTTTTCAACTAACCTTATCTTTTTATATTTATCTCTATTAAATACCCAACAATAAATAGAAAGTTATTATCGATAGGGGTACTTTTAAAATAAAAGGCAATAATTATATTTCAAAAGATTAAAAATGCCTAACATTTCTTAATATCCAACTCTTCAAAAAATGTCTTATATTTTTAAATGGAGGGAGTACCTTTTTAAAAAATAATAACTTCCTAATCCTTTTTTTTTTGTGGGGCCAAAAGGACTTCCTAATCCTAACCTTGAGAGTATGGAATGTGTATGATAATTTCCAAGTTATTGGGTTTATTTTGGAGTTTATAATTTGGGCTGAGCCCGACAAACTAGCCCAAATTTACTTGAAAAAAAATTAAAGCCGAACTTAAAAAAATATGGTTTTTTAATGTTCGAACTTATTCAGACTAGCCCAAATTTGATTGGATTCGAGTTCGAATACCTGAATAAAAAATTTTATTTTAAAAAAATATAAAATATAATAAATATTAATTAATTCTTAAAATTTTAGGTTATTTTATATTAAAATACCATACATTTGAACCATATACATCGTTAAAGTATCAAAAATATATATTTTATATTTTTTATAAAATAAAATAATTAATTTTAAAGTAAAAAAATTAATTAAAAATGATTTTAAAAATAAAAAATTGAGTATTTGGGTTGCCTGAAGGAATTTAGGCCATACTTAACTATTCAGATTTTTTAAAAAGTTGAGCCTGTTTGAATTTAGGCCAAGCCTAAATAGGCTTGCCTTTCTTAAATTCCCAACTCTAGCTTATTAATTTAAAAATTGGTTTAAATTATATAATTAGATTAATAATTAATTTTTTTATTTATTATTAATTGGTAATAATTGGCAATGATATGAATGTGAACCGGTCCGTATTAATAGACGGGGCCCATTTTAATATTGGAGACATTAAATTGAGAAGGAAGATTGAGCGCAAACAAAAGAACGACGCGTCCTCTTCCTTCGGCTCGAACCTGAACCGATCGAAGACCATAATCCCTTCAACCCAACTCTCTCTATCTCCCTCCTCCCTCTCTTAATATTTGAAGTTTCAACCCAGAAATGATCTCAGAAAACTAATGTTTTCTGAAATCCTTTAGAAGAGATTCATTCATCCGATTGATTCCATTCCAATCTGATCAGGTATACTACCTTACAGGTTTTGATATATATATATACATATATATATATATATATATATATGTATATGTATATAGCTTCATAAATCCAGACTCGACTATTCTAAATCCAAAATACTTTTGTTTGACTGATATCAATACTCATTATATTCAATGAGGACCAGAATTTCTGCAGTTTTTGATGATGAAGAAGAAGACTCCGAGAACAGCCATGGCCGCCGGTGGGTGCCTCATCACGGCGGCGGCGTTCTTGTTTGTTTTGATGTTGGAGATTAAGTACTCGCCGTCAACGGGGAGGCTCAGGCTGAGTCAAGCACACCATCATCATCTTCAAGCTGGCAATACAAGTCATGGTAAGCATTAAACCATAATCGTCTTTAGTTTCAATATTTTTTTAATTGTCATTTTCCATCGGGACGGCTATTAAATTCTTGAATAGGGATATATATATATATATATATATATATATTGTTTGAGAATTATTCTAATTTTTCTTTTAATAATATTGAGTGATTTTTATTTTTGAGGTGTGATTAATTATATACTGTTTTTTAAAAGCCCTTTTATTATATTCAATGGTATTTATTAATAATAAATTATAATTAATCATCAGTATTGTTCTAAACATGTCATTAAAATATAATAACTAGCAATCGATCCGTAAATTATAAAGCTTATAACATGTTACCCAACTTATTAAATATAATCAATGTGGATTATTTCTATCCTGCATGCAATGTACACATATATGAAATGTATTTTTATAAAAAATTAAATATGAATTTTTTTATTTCTAAAGTCAACCCCAACGTAACTATTTTCTTAATGAAATTTAGAGCTTAATTAATTACTGCTCCATCTGGACTACAATAGGGAACGTTGGGCTATGAATTATATATTTTTTCAATTATGTCCTTAATTTATTGAATAATAAATAAAAACATTTTGAATAAATTAAATGTTATATTTATTGTACTCAAGAGCATGATTGAAAAATTGTGAAATTTTTTTATAAAATCAAGATTTTAACCAACACTTTTTGAAAAACATAAATTAATTAATAATGACTTATATGTTGGTGAGAGTGGGTTTATCTTTGGGTTTATTTCCACTCTACTACTCTTTTGGCTGCTTGGAGAATGAGCAGGGTGATAAGATTAATCCACGCATAGTATCACGTCACAAGCACAAAAGTGTGATGCTCTTCAAAATTAATTTGATTACACAATTGTCTACTTTACGATTTCAACACTTTAATTTTCTTTTTCTTTTTTTTTTTGCCAACTTCAATACTTTAATTTTCACAGTTCAAAATTCCGACATTATAGCCCCATCATCATTGCCACCGTTAGAGGCAACGAATATGGCCTCGTGAAATGATCTCTTGAATAATGTTCATACGTATACTCAACAATTTTCAATCATAAGTTAGATACACCCTATATGGGCATATATATTATTGCTTGGTTATATCATTTTCAATCATATCTATATCTATATGGACATACACATATTTTGGCCAGCTATCTGTCTACTACACATATTATATTTATGTCACAATATAACTTATACAGCATGTATATGTTAGTCAAAGATTTTTGGGTCTAAATTTTGGGGGTGGAATAATTGAATTTAGAAGTTTCAAGATTTTCAACCACCGTATTTTGACTTTATTGAAATAATTATACATATTTTTTATATGAGCAGCCCCTCATGATTAGAAAGAAGAACTTCATTTTATTCCTTTCTCAGGATACAAAAATATTTTCCATAATTTCATATATATATATATATACATGTCAACATTATTATATTTTCATAATAATCAATGCAAACATAAAAATATTATTCATTTACTGGTTTGTCATATAAAAAAATAGTGGAAATCAATTCAACAAGATTTACTCTTGTGGAGATGAAATTTATTAATTTTTTTATCTATTTTTATTTTATCATTGCAAATTTATTATTATCCTTCTGTGGTCTAATCATTAAACACTTACTGTTTGATTTATGAAGGAAACGTAGAATCAGAAGGGTCAACAGTGCAAGTGGAACCCACGTTGGTCCCTTCTTCGCCACCTCCTCCCGCGGAAGCAATCACATGCGACCGTTCTCGTTATTTCTACGACATCTGTTCCATTCACGTCCCAACAGTGTTGGACCCGACCACCTCCACTTTCTTCATCAATCACCCATCAGCCACTCATCCAACGGTCCAGAAAATTCGTCCTTATCCTCGAAAATTGGAAAATTTCACCATGTCGAGAATTAAGGAAGTCTCCATAATCACTTCAAGACAACCAATCCCACATTGCCATGTCACCCACAGCTCCCCGGCTCTGGTATTCAGTGCGGGAGGGTACACCGGAAACTTCTTTCATGAGATGAGTGACGGGTTCATCCCTCTTTTCATCACCGTCAACTCCATCTTCCATCAAGATCAAGACGTGGTGCTTGTGATCTCCAAGGCTCGTGATTGGTGGGTACGAAAGTACGTAACCTTGCTACAGAAAATTAGCAAGCACCAGATTATTGCCTTAGAAAATGATACTTCCACTCACTGTTTTCCTTCTGCCACTCTTGGCCTCATATCTCATGGATTTCTCGCCATAAATCAAAACCGAATGCCAAACTCAAAATCACTAAATCATTTTCATGAATTCCTAGGCAAAGCTTATGGGACAAATAACCATCCTTCTTATCTTAACATCTCCAATCCTCGCCGGCCACGTGTTGTGCTCATGAATCGTCCACGTGGCAGTGGACGAGAATTGTTGAACGTGGAAGAAGTCAAAGTTGAATTGGAAAAAGTAGGGTTTGATGTCATTGTGTTTGAACCCACACCCACGACTCCACTGCGCCAATCTTTTGAACTCATCAATTCAAGCCATGCAATGGTGGGCGTTCACGGTGCAGCCCTAACGCATTTACTGTTTCTCCGGTCGAGAGCCGTGCTTGTCCAGGTGGTGCCGCTTGGGACGGAGTGGGTGGCGGAGGCATGCTTTGGGAATGCAGCTAGGGCAAAGGGATTGGAATATGTTGAGTATAAGGTTAGGACTGAAGAGAGTAGCCTCATAGAAAAATATAGCAAAGAAGATATGATGATCAAGGATCCTGTAGGATTCTTGAAGGGAAAATCTTGGTCATCAAGTGTAATGAATATTTATTTGAAGGAGCAAAGTGTGAGATTGGATTTGATTAGGTTTAGGAAGTACTTGAAGGAAGCCTATAACAAGGCAAAAGAGTTTATGGACAAAGAGCACTCAAGACAAAATTAATCCCCTTATGAAACAAGAATGAAGCCATTCATTAATTAATACATATGCATTAATGTATTGTTAATTTGTTATTAAATTTTTTTGTTGTGATGTTTGTTTATTTAAAATAAACTGATGTAACTTTTAGTCTTTCAAGTTCATCTCAATTATTAATTTGATATTTTAAATTTAATTTTTATTAATTTAATTCTCTAATTAAGTTTATTTTAATTATCGATTCAGTCCTTATTGTTTAAAAAGAAAGTTACATTATTAACATTTGTTTTTTTACCAACATATTATTAAAGTTTGCTGACATGAATAACAAAATATTGATGATAACTAAGTAAATTAATTAATAAAAAAAGTATAACTATTTAGATAGAAAAAAAAATAGACTCTAAAATTTTAAAAATTAATTTGAGATTATATTGATAAAAATTAAATTAATTTGAGAGTTAAATTATTCTCATTTAACTATATACATACCAAGTATCAATGTACTCTACACATTAAATTATTTTAAAAGTGAATTTGTGTTTTAAAATAAAAAAAATTCACATAATAATTTAACAAAATGTAAAGGGACTGCATTGAGAAAAATTAAAATTGAAGAATCAAATTGATAATTAAAATAAACTTGAAGGATTAAAAATTTCATTATATTTTGAAAAATCTGGAAGGTACTTCATTAACTTGTTAGGCTTGACATCTCTGTTTTATTTTTCATTTTGGGAGAAGTTTAAAAGAAGGAAGCAAAACTTTCGTGCACAAGAATATGTATAGTGGGTTGTTGACTAGTGAACAACGAAGAAAAGGCTGTATACATAATGACATTGGCTCATGCATCTGTAAATAATTATTTAAGACAAGTGGCACGTCACGTTTGAAAGTTGAAAGATCATATATATTGAAACTGCAAGCAACGAATCTCACTTTTCCTAATGTCTCTGTCTCTTCAGTTATATCTTGAAGAAGACGTATGTGACTTCGATGAAATGATGAATTGTGATCAGAAGAAGATGAAGGGACAATGTTCAGTTTCTTCAAGGTTAACAATGGTGGGTCTTTTGTTCTTGATCTCAATTCTCATCACTGCACAGATGATCAAGCTCTCTGCGCTATCCTCCATTAATATCTTTGCCCCATCATCATCTTCATCGTCGTCTTCTTCGCCTTCTTCTTCTTCTTCAGCTGATCTCTCAAAGTCACTTTCTAATAATTACTCTGCAACTTCATCAAGAAATCAACCTCCGCAAGGTATGCCTCTATTATTCATAATTCCCTCTCATCTTTCAGTAAGATTAGCTATTAGAAGAGCGCAAAATTGTATATATATATATATATATATATATATAAAGTCTCAAATCAGTACATACGTGTGGAAACAATTCAATTGTTCTAAATTAAGATAGTGAATTTGAAGAAATAGAAGTATAGCGTGAATAGATTTTTGATAATTCAACCAAGGATTGTTCAATTAGCTAGCTAGATCGTCACCATAATTTTCATTAGTGTGGGAGACAATTCAATACAGATAATAAGAGTATAAAAAAGAGAAGAATTAAATATATCTATAAACTGGTTATATCCAACTGTTTTTTTAATCTTTCATAAACTATATTTGTCTACCTATATTATATTCAGACCAAAAAAATGTTGTTCATATATGTGTGTGTGTGTGAGAGAGAGAAAAATTATTTTTAAATAAAATAAAAATTTAATTACTTTATTTTATGTTTTTTTTTACTTTTCAAAAACATTATTTTGATTTTACTTCTTAAACATATATGAGGGATGGCCACATCATCTTCGCACTTCCATGGTTGTTTTTTCGGCCAACTGATAATTTGGTTAACACTTCCATGGTTTATGACTCAAATTAAAACAATCAGCTAGGGGAAAAAAAAGACTCAAAATTATAATTGATTTGTGTATCACTTTTTTACTTTAATTATTCATAATATTTCTTTGAATCAACTTGTTGATTATTTTTTTAATTACAGAATCAGAAAATGCATCTTTCAAAGTCAAAATCAAACTAAACGCAACAAATTCATGGCAGTTATCAAATCCTTTAACGTCCACCGAAATTAGGTGCGACCGTACTTCCAATCGCTATGATCTTTGCAACATTAGTGGGCCCACAGTTGTGGACCCTACTACAGGTACCTTCTTCGTTATGGGCCCCAATGGATCTGACAAGCCCAAAATTGTGGAGAAGATAAAGCCTTATCCAAGGAAATTTGAAGACTTTATAATGGCCCAGATAAAGAATATCACCCTTATCTCAGGCCCACAAAGCCCACCATGCAAGGTCCATCATATTGTGCCGGCATTGGTATTCTCTGTTGGTGGGTACACCGGAAACTTCTTCCATGATTTCACCGATGGATTTATCCCATTGTTCATCACAATCAACACAATTTTCCATGATCATCAAGGTTTTGTGATTGTGATATCCGAGGGCCCTGATTGGTGGCCCACCAAGTATGCAAATTTACTAAATATATTCACGAAGCACCCAATTATTACCCTGAAAAATGAAACCCAAACCCATTGTTTTCCTTATGCTCATGTAGGCCTCATTTCACATGGTTTCATGACCATAAACCACACATTATTACCAACCTTAAAGACATACTTGCATTTTCGCAACACCCTACATGAAGCCTATAATAGCCACCATGACTCGAGCATGTCACCCAAGAAGCCAATTTCTCAGCCACGGCTCGTATTTGCAAGTCGAAAAGGCACCACCGGGAGAATGATATTGAACCAAAGGAAAGCCATTCAAGTCATGAAAGAAGTAGGTTTTGATGTTGTTGTTTTTGAGCCTAAGAAGAACACGTCACTACGTGAATCTTATGCACTTGTTAGTTCATGCCATGCCTTGATCGGTGTTCACGGTGCTGCACTTACACACTCATTGTTCCTTCGACCAGGATCAATGTTAATGCAAATTGTCCCAATTGGGGTTGAATGGGCAGCAAAAGCATTCTTTGGGAGTATAGTGAAAGGCTTAAAGTTGGAATATATGGAGTATAGGATTAAAGTGAAAGAGAGTAGTTTGGTGAGAAAATATGGGAGGGACAGTTTAATGCTGAGAAACCCATTTGCTCTACAAAAGAATGGTTGGCCAATAGAGCTAATGAATATATATTTGAAGGAGCAAAATGTAAAGTTAGATTTGGTTAGGTTTAGAGGGTATTTGGAGGAAGCCTACAAGAAGGCCTACAAGTTCATGCAAGAAGAGGAAGGTGTTTCATGAGTAAATAAATATATAAAGCCATCTAATGTTAATTCTTTGTGTGGTTAAGAGGAGAAAAAAGCATTCTTGTTCATTTTTGTTTAATGTAATGTCAATTATATTTTTATATATATAGCCAATCGCACTCATGTTTTGTTCGTTTTTCATCATGCTTTGTGAATCCTGCTTCTGAAAATTCGAATAAACTGATAAATCTGCCGCCTCGAGTGTGGGGATTTATTTGTTTGTTTGTTATTACTTTCGTTTTTTTTTTGGGTAATTGTTTGTTATTACTTTGGTACAAAGGTGTTAGTAATTTAGTTATTGTTTAGTGGAGATTTTTCTGAGTTTTGACGGAAATGGATATATTTTAGATCCTGATTGATTGTTGAAATAGAATGTATTAATAGAAAATAAAATAACTAAAATAAGGTTATGGATGGATAGAGATAGATAAACAATATAAGATAAGAGTCATCAAAATAGAAATTGATAAGCTTCAAAAGTAAAATATTTGAATCTTTATTTCACTGCCTGTTTTTGTTTTTGGTTATATGGGTTTTGTTTATACCCGTCTAATTGAACAATTAATAACTAATTCTCTTGATAACTATTTGTTGATCTCCTCTTAATATAATCTATAAGTATTTAATTTGAATCATTATAAGGACAAAAGAAATTGAATTATTTGAATTTCAATTTTTTCCTTTTTGATGTGTCTAACTAACAAAATTTGTGCAGCACCAAACATAAAATTTAAATTCAAACATAAAATTTAAAATTTAAAATTTTACTTAAAATTCAAATAAATGATTTTAATATTATAATTTGAGATTTTTTTATACCATCGAATTAAGAATCTATAAATTTTAAATGTAAAATTTTAAATTAATATATTTTAAATTTAAAATTTAAATTAATATATTTTAAATTTAAATTTTTAACTTAAATTCATCCATCCAAATGTTATTTGAAATTGAGCGGAAAATGGTTCATGATTTCACATTAGAAAGGGGCAAAGGGCAGAGAGAATTGAAAAGGGGCAGCAATGTGAGGAGAATGGGCAATATTGTCATTTCATTTTAAAACTTATTTTCAATTTAATTCCTAAGTCCTATGTGAATTTTTAGAATTTGTTTGATCTGATTTGATATAAAGTCATATATGTGGCCCTATATTGAAATTCTCTCTAAATTTAAGGTCTACTGTTATTTTTTTTTCAAACATAAATTTTTATTTTCATTCTCTTTTATATTTATCTACTGATTTTTCCCCCCTAATTTTTTTTTTCCATAACGGGGAAATACCCATACAAGTCTTATCAGGCAAATCGTAATCAATAAGCACGCGAGTAATATCAGCAATGTTCAATCCACGTTTTTTTCTTGTAGAATTGGTAAGATTATTTCAATAAGCTAACCAAAGAAAAGCTCCACACCATTGCAGGGCTTTCACTTTTCAAATTTTCAAACTTTCAAACCTTCACAGTATGTTAAAAGTAACGGGTGAAAATCACTTGAAAAATGCTTTGAAGAAATGAGAATATCCTAAAGCAGTTTAAGACGATGATTTACTTTGCCATAAAGACAGTTCATTGTTTTCTTAAAAAAAAAAATTTCTTCAAAAAAAATTAATCTTTTAATAATTTAATTTTTCGCATTTCTTTAATAATAGCAATATATTTTCATTTTAACATTTAAAAGAATATTATGCGGTAATATTTTAATCATGATCAATGGACTGAGTACCTCTATAAATTCTAACACACGGGTAAGAAATCTTGAGTCTGACTTGTAGCATTTATCTCTCAAAGTCCATTCCCAGAATCAATTTAGCTATAAGAGGTTCGCGAAAACGGAAAACAACGTTTATGGAGCTTGAATTAGTGCGCATTATTCCATTCATGCATGCTTGGCGAGCTCTTTTGAAAATTCAAAGAGAAAAAGGTCTTTAATCATAGTCAGAGAGACGTATAACACATGGCCAGTAAGAGTTGACCCTGACTTGCGGCATTTGTATCTCAACGATCCATTCTTGTTGGAATCATCTGTGATAGTAAAATTGGTTCTGGGAATGGCATTTTCTCTGATTCCCCTTCAACTCTGTACGCTCTTCCTGTGTGTGCCACCCATTTGTGTTATTGCCCAAACCAGAAGTATCAGTCATAGTTTAAGGGTGGGTGATTCACTCACTGCAGGAGACAGCATATCCTCATGGGTGGTTTCGCCTTATGGAGATTTTGCCTTTGGGTTTCAACAACTTGAAGATGATAATTTCTTCTTGCTCTCCACCTGGTATGCAAAGATTCCAAACAGAACCATCGTTTGGTACGCCAATGGAGACCATCCTGCTCCAAAGGGGTCAAGAGTTCAACTTACTGCTTCAGAAGGGCTTAAGCTTACTTCTCCTGATGGTCAGATTCTGTGGACTACTCGAGATAGCCTTTCTGGTTCTGTTGTTCTTGGCGCCTTGAATGACTTCGGCAACTTTGTTCTCAAAGATAGGAGCTTGAATTCTGTTTGGGAGGCTTTCGAAGATCCTAAAGACACCCTACTGCCATCACAAGTTTTGGGAAAAGGAGGGATGCTTTCTTCTAGAAAATCAGAGACAGATTTCGCTAGGGGACGGTTCCAACTTCTTCTACGGGATGATGGTAAACTCGTGATGCATTCCATAAACTTACCATCTGGGTACGCTAATGAAAATTATTTCGAAACTGAAACTGTTGAGTCTAATACATCAAGCCCCGCCATTCAATTAGTCCTCAACAAGTCTGGAGACTTGTATGTTTTAAGAAAGAATAATAATACAGTCGTCTTCTCAGACATGGCAACACCCTCTCCCACTCAATTTTATCTTCGAGCTACTCTTGATTACAATGGAGTTTTCAGTTTCTATCAACATCCAAAGAGTTCTTATGGCAATGAAACTTGGACACCTCTTTGGTCTCAACCAGATAATATCTGTACGGCATCTTTAGTTAGTGAAGGAACAGGCGTTTGTGGATACAACAGCATTTGCACTTTGGATAATAATAGTAGGCCGGTTTGTAGATGCCCAGAAGGTTATTCTTTAGTAGATCCTGACGATCCACATGGTAGCTGTCAACCATATTTCATAGACTGTAAAGAAGAGCACAGTCAAAGGAAACATCTTTATGAAGTTGTCACGTTAACAAATGTTGATTGGCCTCTCAATGATTATGATATTCAAAGTCCTTCTACTGAAGAAGAGTGCAAACGGGCCTGTTTCGAAGATTGCTTTTGTGCAGTTTCAATTTTCAGATTAGGTGACACTTGTTGGAAGAAGACATGGCCACTTAAAAATGGCAGAGATGACCCGAGTTTAGATGGTTCTAAGGCCTTTTTAAAGGTACAGGGCAATTCCTCCCAAACTGGTCCTCCTATCATTGAGAGAGATAATCAGGGACCTATGTTTTTTGTGTTCCCTGTGCTATTAGGTTGTTCGGCATTTCTTAACATCATGTTAATTGGATCAATCTGTCTAGGCTTTCCCTTCATTTACATATTCCAGAAGAAGATCAAGAGTGTCAATCCAAGAGACGGTGATGTTAAATCCATTTTGCGTTGTTTTACTTATGAGGAGCTTGAAGAGGCTACAAATGGGTTCATAGATGAGTTAGGAAGAGGATCTTTTGGTGTAGTTTATAAAGGAGTCATAAACATGGGTTCTACAATTCATGTGGCAGTCAAAAGGTTGAACAACTTTCTTTTGCAAGAAGAAAATGAGATGGAATTTAAGAATGAAGTGAACGTCCTTGGTCAGACCCATCACAAGAATTTAGTTCGTTTGCTTGGGTTCTGTGAGGAAGGAGAAGAAAGGTTATTGGTTTATGAGTTCATGAGCAACGGCACATTGGCAAGTCTTCTTTTCAATGACTCAAAACCAAGTTGGAACCTAAGACTAGGAATTGCTTTTGGGGTTGCCAAAGGACTTCTTTATTTGCACGAGGATTGTGACACCCAAATCATCCATTGTGACATAAAGCCTCAAAACATTCTCCTCGATGACTTCTTTAATCCTCAAATCTCTGACTTCGGGTTGGCCAAACTCTTGAACATGAATCAAAGCCAAACGTACACAGCCATGAGGGGAACAAAAGGGTATGTTGCACTTGAATGGTTCAAGAACATGCCTATCACGGCTAAAGTAGATGTTTATAGCTTCGGTGTATTGTTACTTGAGATTGTTTGCTGCAGAAGAAGTGTGGAAATGGATTCAGAAAATGCAGAGAAGGCAATCTTAGCAGATTGGGCTTATGATTGCTTCACAGAAGGTTCTCTAGATGCTTTGGTTGAACAAGATCAAGAGGCATTGGATGACAACATGAACCTGGAAAAATTGGTGATGATTGCCATTTGGTGTGTTCAAGAGGATCCAACTCTTGGACCCTCCATTAAAAAGGTTTTTCAGATGCTTGAAGGTGTTGTTGAAGTGCCTACGCCACCATGCCAGACCTCAAACAGTGAGAATCAATATCTATATTAGCTACTCACTTAGCATGATTGAGAAAGCATGGGCTGGTGTATGCTATGATATTATTGTATCGTTTGAGAACTTTATAATTTTCCTTATGTCAATTAATCATTAGTATAAACTATGAAATGTAGAATAAGTCATACTATTTACGAGTCAATATGACCCATTTTCTCGTATTCCATACAATGTTTGCAAAAACATATTTAGTTATGCTAACTTTATGGATATATCAGCTTAGGAACCAAAATGTAAGATTTGTATAGTCTTTTTTTCAACTAAGTTTGATATTCTGTTCGGTTAATTACATTAATTACTTATTAATAAGCTGATAACATTATTTCAATTAATGACTTATCGTTGGTGTTTTGTTGACTCAATTTAGATGTCATTTCAGTTGATAATATTGTAGGCTCATTATTTCAAAGTCTACATAACAATCTTGTTATTCCCCCCTGATTTGTTGCATGTTGTTATGCTTGTGAATTTTAAGGCAATCTTGGGAAAGACCCTCGGCCCCAGATTTGCCTTATCTCAAAATTTCATATGCTAATATTCCAACTATGATGTAAAACTTAAAAATTGGTACCAACCAATTAAAGTTGGTATGAGTGGTAGAGACTCTCATCACTTAAGGAAGTGGTTGAAAGTTTGAATTTTAGCTCTTATATATGTAGTAATTTAATTGGGAGATGTCTATTCTTTGCTCTCAATACCGTGAGAGAGATAATCTCTATTACTGATGGACCCTAGTCCTTATACTTGAGGAAAAAAAAATTAAAATTGGTTAATGTTATTAATAGGGGTACTTGGAAATTGAACCATCTTAACTTCCCTAATGTTGACAAAGGTAACTATAAATTTATGTGAATTGGCAAATCCAAAGGCACCTACTCTGTTCAAACGGGTCATAAATGGTTGAAGAAGAAAACAACTGGTCAGCAGGGATATAGTAATGGCTTAGGTCCTTCAACAGGTACACCATAGGAGCTTTTGAAGTTTATTTGGTCTCTAAAGGTCCAAAGATAAAGCGCTTTCTCTGGAGATCTTACAATAGAGCATTACCAACCAAAGACAAAGAGGAACTTAGAAAGCGTGGCTGTGTCAATTCCCCATTTTGTGGCCTTTGTAGCCATCACGTGGAATCTGTTGAACATGTTCTCATGTTCAATTGGGTTAAATACATGTGGTTTGCTTGCCCCTTGACTTTATCCTCTTTGAAGAATTGTGAATTTAGTCAAGCTGTATTTGCTTACTTATATATGTTGGTATGCTTGGAAAGCCAGATGCAACAAGATTTTTTAGCAGAAGGAGCCTTCAGTAACCTGGGTTATCAGTTCAGCTAGTAGCAGTTTGTCTGATTTTCGGACTGTCAAATGCTGCTTTTGAACTGAACAGGAAGCTGTAAAGGTTAATAAGTCAAATGAGAATCAGAGATCCGCATAATGTCATGAAGATTAAACTGGTGCAGTTGTAGATATTTGCTGTTTTTAGCTTCAACAAGATGAAGGATTTTGATTTGGACGCTCTAGTAGTTAAACCTGACTGTTTAATTTTGTTGAAGAGAGAATCACAAGTAAAAACCTTTTATTATCAAATTTAGAAATTTCAATACTGAAAAATGGGAGAAGGAGTATTGAATTTGGGAGCGTTAGTGTTAAAAAAATCATGATTCGACATTAACTTTCTTCTAGAATCCTTACTTGAAATTCTCCCTTTGTTGAACTCAATTTTATAACACGCTAATTGTCGAGATTCGTTCCATGATTTTTTTGTTTCTAATATAGGAATTCTTTCTTTTTCGATTTGTGTGAGTCTTCCTCGCACTGGGATTACATTAATCTTCTCTTTATCATTCCAATTTTATGGAAGGTCCCGAACAGATTTGATTTAAGAATTTTTTTTTTAATTGTAGTCCTCTATTTAGTTTCGTACTATTTTCCTGGAATTGGTCATTTGGTAGCTGACTAGCTAGCCTGATAGCAAGGAGATGTTTTCCTTTAGAGCACATTTGCATCTGCGTTGATCCACCCATGAACACACGTGTAATTGGAAGTTAGTAAAAGAAATACTCCTTCAGTCCCAAATAAATAAGACACTTTTAGATAAAATTTTACATACTAATAAATCTTATTAAATATACTTAACAGCCTTATCTTTGCAAAATAAAAATATAAAATTTTAAAAATACCCACCATTTAATATATTGAAAAGAGAAGAGATGTAAATTAATTATAAAGAGAGAAAGGGTAATATTAAAATTAGTGTATTTAATGAAACCTTAATCTACTCAAACTGTCTTATATTTTGGGATAGAAAAATTCTTTCAAAAGTGCCCTATAATTTGGAATAGAGGGAGTGCTACTTTACAAAATTTGGAAGTTTTTTTTGTCCTAATTACATGATGAAATTAAAACAATTAATACATTTTTTTCAATTTTATCCTTTATATATTTATTGTTATTTGAATTCTTAAACAACAATTTATTATAATAATTAATTAAAAAAGGGTAAAATCAAAAAAGTTGTATCTTTTTATAATTTCAAAATTATAACTGATATTTTTTTAATAAGCATGAAATTTATTCATCTTATATTAAAGATAAGAGAGCGTTTGCATTCGACGCCGAGTGCTCATTAGGCTAGGAGCAATCATGGCTTTCCATTTCAATTTAAAATTATCTCTGCATTCATTTAAATTAATTTTTAAATATTTTTAATATTATATTTATTAATATAAAAAATTTAAAAATATTAAATCTATATGATTTAGGGGACATTTAAATAATTAATTTATAAAATTTATAAATTTTTTAATATTAAAGTAAATCATTCAGATTATATTTGAACTATTCAGAATCTATTTAAATAGCCAAATTATAAAATTTTTTTAATATTAAATTGAATTGTCTATGTTAAATTTGTATTAGTTAAATTGGTAATGAACATATTAATTAAAAAATTTTATATTTTTTATAAATTTTATTTTAATAAATATAAAATAAAAATAAAAATTGTTAAGTTTGAATTATCCAAATCTCATCAAAAGTGATAAGTGTCATGGTATTTATTTCTTAACGAACGCTAAAGACAGCCCAGGTTTAATATTAAAATTTTTTATATCTTTTATATTAATAAATATAATATTAAAAACATTTAAAAATTAATTGAAATAAACAGCATAAATCATTCTAAAGTAAAATGAAGTACCAGGATTGCCCCTGTGCTGGTGCGGACGAAGAGGAAATAGCTTAAGATTTTTTTTTTTTTTTACATCCATTAACACTTGTGCAGACGCCAAAACAAACGCGTCTCTTTCTTCTGTTTTAGGTGATGTGCCTATTTGTCAACAGCGTGACTTTCTTTGAATGAATTTTTTGTTTGAAGAAAAACAATAAACTCTGCATCACACAAGCATTGATGTACCAATCATTAATTAATATCCAAGCTCACATTTAAGTCTTGCAGTTCTCTCCCTTAACAAAGTACTCCCTCTAGTTTCACAATACAGAAAATAAAACATTGATAATTACTTTACTCTTCTAAAACAAATTAGCTAAAACCTTGATCTCAAAAAAAAAAAAAGTTAAAAGGGTAAAAATATTTAAAACTTTTTTACTAGAAGCATTCAATATCCTTAAGTCAATAATGATACATAAATACTTATGAATAAAAAATAATAAGAGCATCTATTATATCAGTGTAACTCTAATATAAAAAGAGGTAGAGAGAAATAGGAAAGATTGGAGAAAAGAACAGAAAGAAATAAAAGAGTCAGAGAGATCAAGAGAAAAAGAAATAGAGAGATGAGAGAAATTCACTCATAGATGTAAAAATGCCTAAAACTTTTTCTTCAAAATACCAAGGAGATTTTTTAAGGTGCAAAAATACCATGCATCACTGTACCAAAAGTTTCTAGAAAAAAGCTTTTAAGTATTTTTGCTAGTTAACCCAACATCTTAGGTTCACATTAACAAATTTTAAACCATTTTAACAGTTTGGGAAAGAATACCCTCATTAAAAAAAATATTGATGAGTACCCTTACACTTTTATTGACTTAATGATACTAGATACTCATGGCAAAAAAGTTTTTAAATATTTTTATCCTTTAACCCTTTAAAAAATTATACATCTTTTCAATTATATCTAAATTAAATGTCCTAAACAAGTACCTTAATAATAACAATTGAAATTTCCATTAACCATTTTCTCAAAAGGAATTATAAAGGAAGTGAGGGTATAATGAGAAAAAAAAAATAAGTTAACCAATATCTTGTATTTTGGACCAAATAGAACTTTTAAAAAATGACTTGTATTATCGATAGGAGGAGATAATATTCATGTTCACATGGCCAATTGCCTTGCACATACTAAAGCTGTAGACAATTTTGCAAAATAAAGAGAGTGATCTACCTGAATGATATTTGAGAGGTATTATTGTCATCAATTTATTCTAAATATTTGTTGCCAACAATTTAATCCTAAAGTTTTGAGCAAACACATTGTTTCAATGTTTGCTAGAAATCAGTTAGGAATTCAAAAGTGGATCTGCAATAAGATACGTTTGAAACTTATTTCTTTCTTCCAAATGTTCACATCAGGAGATAGTGTGCCATATCGAACATAAATACTCCAAGCGTTCAATTCTATTTGTTATCAAAGTTCCCGTCAGCATTAAATTAATAACAGTAAAATTTTTACCTCTCAATTATTTTTTAAAAGTATCTGACATCCTAAATTTATATGTAAAGTAATTTTTTTTTCAACATTTAAAAATAATGTGCTAAGTACGTTGCTAAAAAGAACTAATATCAATTAAATCACCAAAATAATAACCTTTTATGTATATAAAAAAATGACACTAATATCCTATTATTTATATATAATTTAAGAGACTTAATTAATATTAATTTTTTTATAAAGTACTCATATGTAATTTTGAAAGTCTTATGTTGTAATTTTCGATGTCATCTTCTACAATTTCAAAATCAAATAATGATGATAGTTAACTTTTTAATGATAAAATACTCAATGCATCATCTTGAAAATTTGAAGTTGGAAATTTCACCACATGAAATATTAGAATATAGCAAATTCCTGAGGGACAAAAATATTCTTTAACCCAAAATTTTAATAGTAAATTGATAATAATAAAATATTAACTAAAGTATACATTTAGTCTTTTAATTTTATACAACATTTCATTTTAATTTCTTAACTTTATAAAGTATCTTTTTAATCTTTTAACTTTAACATTATTAGTTCTATTCCAATAAATTTTTACATTAAACTTTTAAATATTGACAAAACATTCTCAAATGTTAACATATTAGGTTTAATTTTTTTCCAAAATAATAATGATTAATACAAAAAATAATCATCTAAAACCAACGAAAATAACTTAAAAAATATTTTACAAAATTAAATGATAAAATTAAAACTTTATATAAAGTTAGAAGAATAAAAGTATATTTTAACCTAAAACATTTTAGGGAATGATTTATTCAATAACAAGCATTAAGGACATAGTCAACAAATGGTACATACAAATAGCATCCATTGTGTTGCGTGAATCAGACTATCATTACATATATATTTTAATTATCATATTTTTTTTAAAAAAATATGGAAGTCGGTAAGTTTCAGTGACCATATCGAATCTTATAACATAAAAATTTTAACAAGCCACAAAATTCAAGGGTCACAATCAGTGCAATTCAATTCTCAGACTCCATGCAATGCATGACACCCTCATTGGTTTTCTTAAATGCTAAGCAAAAAAAAGCACTAGAAATTTCATACTCTAGATTTTGATGATCAGATAGCCATTCTCATAGACAACTAGTTTCAAATTATTTTCACCCAGCTCCCTTGTCATTTATAAGCTTTAAAGCAAAACCAAGGGGCATATGAATTTTCTTTATCATAAATGCAAAATGAAAAAGAAAGAATAATTAACTAATCAAAAATTGGAACTAGGGCTACATAGGATAAAAAATCCAGCTCCAACTTCTCTAGCTAAGAAATTGTACTTGAATCCCGAAGAATCTCATATATAGATATAACATTTTCAATAAACAAAAGGAAAATAATGCACCATTCCAAGAAATCTGACTTTCTGTTTTGCAACACTTCTTGGAGAAAATGAATATTATGCTGCCAACAACAAAATCAAAAAAGACCGTAAGCCTTTATTTTAAGAAAAAAACATTTCTCTTTTCCAAATGTATATACTCCAATCCCTATTATAAGTCACTTTTAACCACCTCATTAGAATCATGAAGAGGTGGTTAAACCATTAACTTGGTCAGAAAATATAATAAACTTTTAATTTTACTCTTATTTAAATGATTTTTTTTTTTTAAATTTGTATTCCATTCTCTCTCATAATTAATGAGTCTAAATAGGAATAATATTGAAAAAACATAATTAATACCCATCAATTGCATTAAATTAAGGATGATCGATCTCTTTTAAAAGGTGTCTTATAGTAAGAAGGTACGTTGTCAAATTACTAGTAATTGTTGAATCAAATATCATAGTTTTATTGAGAAACTAGATGGGAAAAACAAAACATCCAAAGGCAGTGTAAAAGAGATAAACTAAATCAATCAGGAAAATAAAGCAAAAACTGTTAGAAGTCCTACTAAAAACTCTGATTTGGTCTATGTATCTTGAAAGGCATGTTTAAATCAAGTGTCTAATACTTTCAGAAACTTAAAATGGATAAAAGAGCAGAAATACCTCGACAAATTTCAATTTGAAATCCAGGTTTCCAAAACGTTGTGCAACTTCATACTCTTCCCTAAGATACTCGTAAATTGCAGCGTACTTTGCATCCCTCCAAGCAATTTCCGATCTGATTAATTAGTTCAGCATAAAACGTTAATGAGAAAGCTGAGAGAAGAAATCTGTGAGCTAACCTTAAATGCTCTTGCAAAAGATGAAGCCTTTTTTATTTTTTGAAAAGTAACGATGAAGTGTGTTTTTATTAACATATATTTAGAAGATTTTGGTTCTTACAATGATCCTAAGAACTTCTACAAATACTCACAAGAGAAGACAAGGGTTTATCTAATTTCTAAGATCTTGCTTGGTTACTAGAAAGGAATGGAGTAGAATGAATTGAAAAAAATCAATAGAAAAATGAACTAAATCACCCTTTCCCCTCATAACAAGCACGGTAAAACTTAATACTAAATACTACAAATGTTGGAATCATTTCATCCTCCAAAAATCTCATGAATCATGCATGATTCCCAGCCTCAAATTAAATTACCCCTCTCCCTTATGAATATGATTCGCTATCTCTTTTGACTGTCTCATTTTTCCCTTTATTTTTCTAATCCATTCCATTTCTTTTTAGTAACCAAATAAGACCTAAATATTACGATGACAATACCTCTCAAAGAGGCCAACTTTAAGAATCACATCAGCCAAATTTGAATTGGCCTTTCCAACGAGCTGAAGGAGCTTCTTCTTATCCATAGTGAAAGTTCCTGTTTTCTCCATTCCACGATTTATATCTGCAAACTCTTCAACCAAACTATCCACCTAACCGATGAGGAGAGAAACATTAAGTTTTCAACTGCTTGAATCAACTAGCCATCATTTTCTTTTATTTTGAATAGCTTGGGCAGACACTGGACATAGTTCATTACAGGATTAACTGACATGTTCATGAAGAATCATAACATGCACTCAATATCTTTATGGCATGCAACTACGCCAGTTCAACAAATACAAATTGCAACCTGCTTCATGAGTACATACTTTTCCACTCCCTTTCCCATCCAAAAAAAGGAAGAGAAGAAAAGGAAAGGAAAGGAAAGGAAAAGAAAGGGGGGAAAAAAACAAAGGACACACCAGGAGTGCAAAAGAATAAAGGGATAGAAAAGGGTATGAAACACGTTCTCCATAAAAAGAATTGCAAAGAACATACAATAAGCAAACATGAAAAGAGAAGGAAAACAAAAACCTGAGAAACAAAATAATCCAGTGCTATACTTTGTCCCAAAACACTACCAATGATGCGAATACCATCAGTGTCCAGAGATTTCAGAACTATATAGTCCGGCCCTCCCCGCATATCCTCAACTAAGCGTGGCATCTCTTTGACCGCATAATCTAATCCAGAACAACGTGTTAAGTTAAACATTCAAAGATGTAAATGATGGATTAGTGCATCCGGAATGAAATAAGATTACCATCTTTCCTCATCTCTAAAAGCAAACCAGAAGCATGCCTTTTAACTAGTTCCAGGTAATTGTCCACTTCATGATCCTCAATATTAAACAAAACAGCAGACCCATACTGGTAAACGACCATGTACCGATAGCTGCTTGTTTTGTTGTGGGTTCCAGCTCCCTGTATCAAAGTTCTTCATGTTGATCAGGTTGTTAAATCACTCATGTTCTATTTAAACAAAATTATAAACTTCCAAAAGAAACACTACAGGAGATTTTTTAGATGATCTTACATTAGTGTCTGAATTGAAGTTACGGAATCGGAGGGCAATGGAGTTTGATGAGCGAGAAGATGGAGGAATAATGTTTCCTAAATTCTCAGCTTGAATGTCCTTCAAGTTTATACTGCCAAAATTAAGAATCTGAGACAGCCAAATAATAGAGAAAGAGAACAGGACAAGTGAACAAAGATAGTGATAGAGAGAGAAAATAAAAGCATAAAAGTAATTTGGTTGCAACCTATACAGTTAAAATAAATAATGTAAGATCATGTTCCAATGAAGAGGCTGTAAATACCTCTAATCCAAAAAACCAAATATCCTGGTTCCAATTAATATAGTTTCCACTAAACAATCAATTCATCATCCATGAAACAGAATCCTCTTATTTAAAGAAGAATTCAACATTGTCATATGATGATAGAGAGAGATGGAAACATAAAATTGTCGAGTTAACCATGAAAACCATCACTGAAGTGAATTTGTATCGATCTCTCTCCTCACATAACACCATCATGGAAGCTTCTCACATAGTCACATGAGGCGTATCCAAACTGAACAACCGCTCACTCTCGTATGATTAAAAATAAGTAAAGCAACAAATACAATAATTATAACTTACACTCTAGTCCTTCAATTTATTTCCTATTCAAATTAGTTCCTTTTGCAACTTGCCATGGGTGCGTACTAAATTAGCCAAATAACTACATATAATTTTACCCACTGAAAGGAAACTTTATGAGGGACTAACTCCCGTGAAGAAACAACTCTAACAACCAAATGTGCTAAACGGTACACCTTTGAAGGCTAAATTATTAATTTGCATAAGAAAACCAAAACCCTTCTTTACCTAACACGACATTCTAAATCCAACAGTAAAGGGCAACCACGGATTTTGAATGCCCAAGATAAAAAGAATTATGACCCAAACAATGACCACGGGGACAAATCAAGCCGACAATCAAACTCATCAATCAGATCGATTGAATCAGAAGAGGGAAGAACCTGGTTGAAAGAAAGTAAGCTTTAACGGGAACTTTCACGGATTCGCCGTCTTCCTGAGCTCCCAATTCATAGTTATGGTCCAAATTAGGAGGACCCGAAGAATCAAAATCGTCGGAATCAACGGGGACCCGATAAGGGATTGCAGAAGAAGCCCCGAAACTGAGGAAGCGGCGTGTGAGATTGAAAGGAGGACGAGGGAGAAAGCGAGATTCTGGAGGACAAGAGAGATGATGAGTGGTGGATTTGGAGGCAGCGGCTATGCGGCGGAGGAGAAGCGAGACAGTTCTCCATCTGCCACACATTTGCTTTTGGGGAAAATAAGCGTTGTCTTTTGCTTTCTGTGATTTGATTTCGCAGGGCAGGGAAGGTCTTCGTCTTCTTCCTCCGTTATTCACCGTGCCCGCTGTTCCAACGCAATCGCACTGACTCACCGTCTCTCACCCCGAACCCCGCGCCTGGCCCAGTGCTTCGCATGCCTATCAAACTATTTTAAGCTTTTGGCCGAAAAAAAACAGCAACAACGACAACAGAAAGTTCTTTGGTAAAAAAAAAAAAAAAAAACAACAACAACAACAACAACAGAAAGTTTAAACCGGTTTTTTTAATGGTGTAATAAGTTAAATTATAATAATTAAATAAAAATAAATATATATAAATAATATAAGAAATAAATTTACAATATATATAATTGTAAATAAAAAAAATACATGATGATAAATCAATAATATTATAAATTATAATTTTATAACTTTTTAAATACATGTGAATTTTTATTATATCAAGTATAAATAAACTCAAAAATATTTATATTAACATTTTTTTAAAACAAAGATCTCAAATTATATTATATAGATATGAAAGGTCCAAAAAGAAATTAGCTTTTAGTAAAAGTCTAATTTTTAAAATTTTTCAGTTTTTTCAATTTTAAAATTTTTATATTATATTTAAAATTGTTTGATTTTCTGAAAATCATTTTAATTTTCAATTTTCAAATTAATAACAGCTTAATTACAATTCAATCTTGTTTAATCATAAAAATTAGTTTTTTGATGCAAACCATTCACATGCAAATTTTTTGAGCATTATTAAACCCCCAAATGAGCCAAATCACGATAATGATTTGAAAATTGCATCAAAAAGGGGGCACATGATAATGAAACCAAAAACTTTCGATCTAGATCAAAAACTATCAATAATTAAAAGCAAAAAGCTTGCTTTTAACAGATTGTAATCACAAGAATTAACTCTCATAACAAGTATAAGGATTCAATGAAAAGAAAAAAAAATCATAAGGACTTGATTAAAAATTTGAGTAAAACTATAGAGATCCAAGGATTAGTTTTTCCTAATTTAATTTAAGTGTGTCTAGGGGAAGTTATGAATAAGTATTTCCGTTTACTTTTTATATGAAAACTTACAAGTTTTCTTAATGTCACTATATCACAATATAATGTTTAATATTTTCTCAATCAATAGGAAATTTAAATTCGTGCGTGTTTTTCTTTTGGCCAAAAATAAGACAAATTTATTGATAACCAAACAAAATAACAAACACTAATAACCAAAGCCAAAAAACACTCTAAAAAGAAAAAAAACCAAATCCACAACTTACCACCAAAAACAACAAGAAGCAAATTCATGCATATTTGATATACTAAAATAATCATCATTTTTTTTTAAAAATATGTTTTAACTATTTTGAAACTTTTTAAATAGCTTCTGATCACTTCCAAAAACATCTTATGTTTTTTTATAGTATCTGAATAATAAATAATTTTTAAGAAATGGTTATGCCAAAATCGTGATTTTTGAGGCCCAAGTTTAAGATAAATTAAAAGGTCTTGAAAAATTTTTATTTAATATTAATTTTTGAATATAAATTATAAAAATATAATGTATGATCTCATTGAAATGAGTATAATTATTGAATGTAAATTATAAATAATATAAAATTTGATAGGTTTAGTAATAAAAATAAATCTGGCAAAAAGTAAAAATATAAAACTTGATATGTTGAATAAAAATTATATAAACAATTGTACACACACTCAAAAGGAAATTTAGCATTAATTATTCTATTTATAATGTATAATTTGATTTCTACTTAAATTTTTTTTTTAGCCAACGATTTCTAATTAAATTACATACACTATATAATTTCTTTTACATTTGGGATTAATTATGGATAAACATGTTTAGCTTCACCACATCAACCACATTTTTATCCTCAAAGCACATAAAATCATATCTAACGACAACATGGGGATAAAGGGTATTTAACATGTTTAACTTCCTCGTTAATGCTCCAGCTCCCAATTTAACATGCTGAAGCTAGTAAAAAGTTTATGGAATAAATGTTTTTGAACTCCCTCCAAACAAAGTTTGGTGTAATGTTTTAAAAACCAGGTCATAAGATAAATAAAAAATGTCAACAGGTAATAATTCTTATGGTTTAGTCAATTAAATTGGTGATTAAATTGATAACATAATAATTAAATAAAAAATTAATATATATATGAAAATATATAAAACGCAAATAAAAAATATAACAATATCATTCCCAATTCAAAGTTGTTCAACCAAAACATATTAATTTTTAATTTTCTTATTTTTTTCATATATATATTTTTGTTATTTACATTATTTGTTCTCTTAAAGTAAATGAATTTTCAGCTTTTTTTACAGATTAATTTATATCATGTTAATAAACAAATTATATACTTAAACTTTTACTATAAAAACCCGAAAAGGAATTGACATTAATATTTTTAAATGGAATAAAAAATTTTATTATTAAAATAAGAGTAAAAAAATGATTCAAAATGATCCACCATTTCAAGTTCTAATTGATTTTGGCTCTATCAAAATTGTTTGGTTCAAAACAATCTAAAATGAGTCAATTTTTAAATGGAATTAACAAGTTAAATTGAGTTATTTTTATAATTGAATGATGATCTAACCAGTTCGATAATCTATGAATCCATTTGATGACTTTATTTTTAACTTTTAAAAAGTACTTTTAACACTTTTTGAAAGTTAAAAGTTGTTTGGATATAAAAATATAATGAAAGTACTTTTATGGATGTAATTTGAAAAAGTCATTGAATATGAATTCGTCCAAATTGATTTCCTTTAGCTTTTGAGATGTGCTTTATAAATGTGATCCATTAATTTATGATATGACTATGCTACCCTTGATTTTTATATAAAAAATTGTAGGTAATTTTTTGACAAATTATATGTATAAATAACCAAACACACACTTGTTATAAACGTGGGTTAAGATAGGGTTGAAATGTGAGTTTGCCAACTTTATTTTTTCGACAGATTTGAAATTGCAGATGGGAGTTGAATTGTACCTATTTTTATAAATGACCATAATACCCTTATTATGTTTTAATTTTTCCAGTATTAAACTATATATTTTTTATTCCTATTATTTAACATATTAAATTTTATGTTATTTTAAATTTCTTTCCATTTTTTAAACACTTCTAATATATTATATTTATATAATAAAAATTATCAATTATTATAAATCAATGTCCATTTTGATCATTACATATTCAAAAGTATATTTTAAAAACACAAATTTTTATTAATCCAAATAACTTTTAGTTTGTTAAACTGACTTTTAAAAAAATATATTCAAATATAAATTTTATTATAACCATTGACTTTTACTACATTAATTTTTGTTAAATGAACTTTCACCCAATTAATTTTTAATAAATTAAAAACTAAACACACATTAAATCCTAAAACATTAGTTTGGAGATATGCATATTCTAACCAAAGGTATTTAGTACCTGTTTGGGTGCCAATATAAAAAAAAAATTAGATTATGAAAGCCTTAACCATGGTTTTATTAGAAAAAGCCCAAACATCTTTTGTTTTTTTTTTTGCCATTACCACCTTCTGCATCCTCAATTGCGTTTTCAAAAAAGCTCATCTCACTAGCTTTTGTAATTGATGATTCTCTGCATTCAACTTTAATGGTGTGTCGGATATTTTCAGATACCATATATATCCCTGTATGGTTCTTCATCAGTGATTGTCTTCCTTTTTTTTTTCCCCCAACCTCGAATACCTCATGTACAACATCGCTTTTCTTCCTTGCAAAATGTGTGGGACCTTTGACTTATAATATATTTATATTAAATAATAAATATTAAACTGATACTATTATATATATTAAAAAATAGTGGAAAACAAACTTAATAATATCATATTTATAGATTTATTTTTTACATATATTAAATTATTAGTATTAATATAATTTAAATATATATATACATATATATAATTAATTAGATATAAAAGTTAAATAGTATATTTACTTGTTAAATAAAATTGAACAAATTTAATAATATATACAAATTTTTTAATATTTTAATTTTCAAAAGCAATGTCCTTTATAATAATTTGAATATCTAAAATTAATTCTGATTAAATTATCTAAACATCTTTAATTCTATCAAAAATCATTTAAAAAAATAATATTCAAATATGATTATGTTATGCTGGTAAAAAAAAAATATGACTACATTATAACATAATCAATTGTAATTAAAATTAATTATATTAATAATTTTTTTATAATTAATTATATCCAACTAAAATTTAAATGAGCCTTTAGTCTTTTATGAATTGTTTGATTTTTCATTTGTTATTTTGTAAAAGATCTTTTCACTTTTCAAAAACTAAATGCAAACAGCTCCTTAGTCGCAGCAATTTTAATTCTCTTAAGGTTTCTTTGTGCCATGTCAAACTACTCATTGAAAATTGTAAACATTTCATTCACCGCAGGACTAGAATTTTCAATGTTTGAAATAAGTTATCTGGAGTCATGTTTATGGGCCTGTTTGGCACGTTAAAATTTGGAGACACGAAAATAAAATTGAAAATGGAATTCAAATTTATCCCATTTGAAATGTCATATTTTATAAGAAAAATGATAATAAAATTTTTTTAAAATCTATAAATAATAATTTAGTTCTTTAAAATATCATAATTTCATTTAAGTCTCTCAGAACTTTTCTGTCGTTAATAAATTTGTATAAATAATTAAATTGCCCTTGTTATAAATAAAATGATTCACAAATTTTATTTAAATAATCACAACTTTATTTCTTGTATTCGCAATAATGTAACATCAAATTAAAAATTTAACATACAAAATTATAATTTGTTATTACATTGTTGTAAATATAAAAAAAAATTATGACTATTTAAAAAAAAAACTTATAAGTTATGAATTGTTTTATTTCTTACAAGAATAATTTGATAATTTAAATAAATTTATTAATAACAGAAAAATCTATAAAAACTTCAATAAATTTATTGCATTTGAAATGACTCGTTGGAGGAAAATTCGACGGCTGATGTTGCTTGCCTCTGTTAATCAATTTCATGGTTGGGACAATTTTCTTTTCTTGGGATGAGGATATTTTAGTATTTTCATATTTTAAACATTAATATTGAATAAAAATAATTTCTCAATTTCATAAAATCCATATTCATCTCCATTTCTAGATCTATCTCCATCTTTATATCCATTTTCATTTCTATGTACCAAACGGAGCAAGGGATTAGGTTATAATTAAATTAAAATTTAAAAAATCAAATAATTAATTTTTCAATAAAATATTAGTTAAAACTAAATAAATCCTATATCTACACGAATTCACATGGAATACTATAAATCCACAATACATGCCAACTAAGTTAAATGAAATAACAAAAGCAAAAACACCTAACTGGACTGAATAAAGACAAAAATTTCCAAACAAATCAATTTTGAAAAACTTTGCAGCTTCAATATATATTTAAACAACAATCCGGTAATCATTACCCATAGCATGATTTCAATGTTTAGCTACACTACAACTTTTTCACTGTTAATTAAATATGCTTGTAGCTATAACATAATCATGTCAGTTCATTCACATCCTGCAAGTGAAAAATGAGTTGATAAAAAGAATTGAAATAAGAAATATGAATACCTTTCCAAATGCGATAAACTATCATTTGAATCTCAAATAACAAAAAAGAATGGACTTGTACTGATTTATCAATAGTATTTAGCATTTGATACAGGGCCTTGCATAAGATATTCTGGGAGACTGTAATATACCAACAAAACCTAGGTCCTAAAATTCAAAATTACATTTAACTTAGTAACTTTGTCATAAACTTTTTTGCAACTTGCACTGAAGAGTAAGGTCATTGAAAATTCCTTGTACATTTTGCCAGTGCTTTTGAGATTTGGGACGCATATTCCTTCTGATATAGTGACAATACAAGGTTAATCTCATGAAATCTAAAGAGAATTTCCAAAATATAAAATTCTGAAATGAATCCAATTTAACCGGTTAGAAAGAGACATGCAACTATGCCAAGGACGCTTTAAAAAGGTTAATATACACCCCGAAATGCCATGTCATTCAAACTCTAATAAAAATAGTCCAAATTAGATTATTTAAGACCCACATATTATTTTACACTTTCAATATTATTTTCACTTTACAAAGAACTAATATTTCTCTCTTTATCTCACTCCGCTAAATACTTGGACTGTTTTTTAGTGAAAGGAATTTAAATAACATGGCATCCCAAGAATAAGGGAATAATTTCTCCGCATTTTCATAAAACTCACCTTTCACATGCTTACATGCCTGTTTTTAATTTCATCTATCATTTATAAATTATATTCACCTCAGAACCTCATTTAAAAGGATTGTAAACTAAAATTGTTCAATCAAAGCTAAGAAGTACTGACATGCACGACTAACTTGGTCACTGGATTCTCTGAAGCAGCTTGTCAACCATTATTCTCTGCTGGACCCCACTCAATGACTCTGAGTTCATAATTGCATTGGCGACAATAATAGTTGTAGATGGAGATTCTGCATTAACCTAAACACAATTATGAAAGAACAAAAATATGGAATTAGTAGAGATCACTTGAACCCATTTTCACCAATTGTGAATATATATTATAAAAGTTGAATTTATTATACTGTTAATTTACTGCACACATTGAAATTTATGATTTTTTGTCTTTTATGTCACGGTCTTTCTGCTAATCTCTTCTTTTTTCAATTAAAAAAAAGTTTTTAAAACCCTGAACACATACTGAACGAGTGTTCTTCCCAAATCCAGCCCAAACAAAAATCATTAACAAGCATATACAGCATAAATGAATAAGCAAAGAGCAAAATATGAAACAGGGAATAGAGTATGATGATGTATTACCCAAACACGGCCATTTAAACCAACTGCTATCTCGAAGGACAATTTCTTCCCTAAAGCATCAAGGACTGGACATGTGGGTGAGCTGAGAAGCCTATAAACAACAGAGGATGTCAGCACCTGTTATCATTGTGCACGAATGACAAACAAAAAATTAAAGTTCTTACATTCTTGATAGACCAGTTGTGCATTCAAACATAAAGCCATCCTTTAGCACACCATATTCTGCTGCTTTTCCGCTGGCTAAATACAGAAAAAGAACAAAAATTTCAAAGAATTAAGTCCATAAAAATAACTAGAAAGAATTTTTTTTTTTTAAAAAAAGATATCTTCTGATAAGAGACCATGTCAGCCTAGTGCCCCACTAATCACCTACCATAGACGAAAGGGGAGGAAAATAACTGAAGTGGATGCTTTATGCAATGATGATGATTTGGGTTTTTTTTAAAAAAAAAAAAAAATTTAACTATTGATTGTTAGCAGTGAATCTTTCAAAAGTCACTTAGCTAAATAAGTGGGCCTCTATGGTTGTTTCTAGAGGGGTTTCCAACGTTTATTAGTTTAGTTCAGAGATATTTGCATGATATTTCTGATATTTATTAATTATTATGTATATTCAGCATTATAAATAGACTAGCAGGCTCAAAGGCTAGTCATATTGAGTAATAAAGTTCCCAGTTTGTTTACATTGAGATTCTCCTAGTATTTTGGCTATTAAGAAAGTAATAGTGAGATTCTTGCTCTCTTTCTCTCTTTTAAGAGTTAACTTCCCTTTTTATTTTCATTATCAGTTTCAGAGCCCTACTGATACATGGGAATTAGCAATAATAGGAGCAATTAGGAGGATTAAGAATAAAAGGGTGCTACGGGTATTTGGTTATATTCTCTATATATAGGGTCCTAAGGATGTAATGGGGTCTTTGTGAATGAAATTGCTATCTCTCTCTCTCTCTCTCTCTCTCTCTACCCCTATCAAAGGTACTAAGGCCTCCTCTCTGGACATGGAGGAGTTGCTAGAGATTTGATCCTCCGATCTTATTGGCAAACAGCAACAATGCTTTAACCTTTAGCAAGCCATGTTTGAAATTACCAACACTTGTCTGGCCTTACACTCTCAGGTTATAGGGGAACTCAAGCAAGCAGCTTCCTGCCTTGCACAGTCTATGCAAGCTATTGATGCTGATTTGTCATCAATGGTTGCTGACAAGTCAATCTTCACGGCAGTAATAGAGTTGTCCAAGCTGAAGCAAGAGACCACAGTGAAGGAGTACCAGTGGAAATTTGAAGCACTCTTGCCACACACAAAGTTACCAGAATCCACTGCTATCAGCATCTTCATCAATGGACTCCAGCCAAAGATCCGATGAATCATTCAGTTCATCAATCTAAGAACCCTTGCTAATGCAATGTCTTTTACTGATATTCAAGACACATATGGGTGGCAGAAGAAACATGACAGTCAAGAAGATGAATATATTATGAAGGCATTCAAGATTCACAAACAAGTAGCAAACAAGAAAGACAAAGACACGGACAAGCCAATTGTCAAGGAGTCTGATGTGGATTCAACACTCACCCTTGTTAATGAGGAGATGAAGGATGAATTGATAGAGATAGGGAATGTCGATACCCTGAAATCAGACAATGTCACTACAAGCATTGCAGAAGACCAAAAGAAGCACGATAGTGAAGAGATGGAGAAATGCAGAGCAGCAAAGAAGTCAAATGGTTCTCTGACTTCTTCAATTTTTGGCTCTCCTCTTCATGTGTGTCTTCTTGGCCATTCACTGCCGATGCATTTACCATTGAGTTGAGCACCAAAATTCCAACCATCACTATCACCTATGGTTATGTATCTTCCACAAGGTGAGAGATCATCACCATCAAAATTCCAAACAAAGCACCAAGATTCCTCAGCGGTTCAAATGATGCCATTGAAGTCTCCCTTCTACATTGGAAACTCGACGCCTACTGTCGTTGTCTCGCATGATTCAGCATCAATGGCAAGATACTTAAGATTCTAGAAGTGTTCATATCATTCGCTCACCTGCATAGTTCAGAACACAACACTAGAGAACGCTTTCGCATTGGCTTTGCTAGCTACACCTCGCCTTGGAAAGGTCCACCAAGCTCACACCGCAAGTCCTCCATTGTGTCTTCCTTCCACATTGAATCTTCACCACCCTCATTACTATTGGGATCTTTCTCACCACTCACCAAAGCCATTCATATCGTTCTTTCATCGATGGAGTTCTAACCATGATGCTGAAAAAAAGGACATTGATCGGAAGCCAAAGGCAACCCAAAGCAGAATCAGGCAGAAATATTGTTCTCGAGGTTGTTGAAGACAATGGGTCGAGTGGCGTTAGCAAAGAGATAGCGGGTTTCAGGTTTTTGTTGGAGGTTCTCAAATTTTCTCTAGCGGCACAAACAAGCTTCTGTGACAGCGAGTGTTTGCTCCAAGGGTCAATGTGTTCTGAGTTTCTAGGCACCCTCCAGGACCAAGCATGCCCTAGTTATGATTCACATGCCAGTCATCAAAACCATAATGAGGCTAATTAAAAGTGCTGTTAGGTTTTATTTAGCTGAGGTTTGGGCTTGTCAAGCATATATAGGCCCAAATTTCTTTGGATGGATGTGGGGGATGAAACCTTGTGGATTGCCATGATAGGCTTCTGGATTGAAGGACAGCTGCAGAAAGTCTGGGCTTTCAATGTCCATCAATTTTGTTTTTATTTTTTTTATTTTTTACCAAGTCATAGCAACTTCTAGGCTAGTTAAAAAAAAAAGTAGTCTTCTTTTAAATATATGTTTTACTTTCTGCTTTTTTTTTTTTTTTGATCCTTGAGGACAAGGATCTCTTGTGGGGGGAGTCTATTGATACATGGGAATTAGGAATAATAGGGGTAATTAGGAGAATCAAGAATATAAGGGTAGAATCGGTATTTAGTTATATTCTCTATAAATAGGTCCTACGGATGTAATGGGGTCTTTGTGAATGAAATTGCTGTCTCTCTCTCTCTCTCTCCTCTACCTCTATCACCTACCGACTTCATAATTAAGCATGAACCAAAAGGCATGTGAGAAATGAAAATACAAGGAATTGGATAGCTACCATCAGTGCAAGACAGTTCAGGATTTATTCCAGGGTTAGCTTTTACAACCCGCACATAAAGAAGAGTACCCACCTGAAAGGCAAAAGAAATCACAAAGGTTGCAGAAAACACAATAGACTAACCAACCAAAGCATTAATGATAAATGACAAAAATTGCCAAATCAATAGCATTGATGATAGATGACAAAAGCATAAGGCAATGACAAAAGTACCCGCCTGCAAGATGTAGCAAAAGGCAAAAGAAAGCACAAAGGTTGCAGAAACACAATGGACTAACCAACAAAAACATCGATGATAAATGACAAAAATTGCCAAATCAAGGGCTAGTCTACCATCTAAATTTAAGAAAGAAAACCAAGAAGCAAGAAACACATCATTTATTCTTTTATATTTTGTCCTCTTTTCTAAACACACAAAACACTTTTAGAAGAAAGTAATTTGGTTGTAATCTCTATATGCCAAAAATAAATAAATAAGAATCCAAAAGGGAATATAATGTCTCACTAAGAAATTAATTCTCACATATAATCTTGGTTGCATCCGAAGATATAACATAATTTTTTAGCAAGAAAGCTCAATTAATTCATTCTTTTAAATCAGCTAAATCATAGAGTTTTGGGCTGATAAACTAATTTACCCACCAAGCGTACATATGACAGTTAATACACAGCTCCCTACTTCAAAAGTAGATTAATTGATTTACACACCAAGCATAAAGCTCCACACAATGCAATTAGAGAGAATTCTCAGTTGTATTGGCATGTAACATAAAATCAATCTCTACACACCTCAAATTTAGGTATATTTCTTCTAGTTCCTCCTTCAAATGCAAGCACAGGCAAATATGCTATAGAAGGTCCTTTTATATCCACAAGAAAATTCTGCAAAATAATCAATTGATTATTATTTTATTGAAAAAATAAAGAAACTCTTGAAGTTAAGATTTTGTGGGATGAGGTCAAATTTCATGCATATATAAGAATGTGAAAGATGATACAGATATGAGAAAATTGGAACAGATGACTTTGAGCCTTGTCAAGAAAGGTAGAGGAAGACCGAAGAGAACACTTTTAGAGATTGTTGAGCAAAACCTTTTAATTAACAATATTTCTAAAAACTTAATAAATGAAAGAGCACAATGGTAATATATAATCCATGTAACCGACCCCACCTAATGGGATAAGGCTTCTTGTTGTTGTGAAAGATGATACAAAGGTAAGTCATCTTTAAGATGAGACAGAACTAAGTCAGTTTTATGTGACAAGAGATTGATAGAATTCAAGACAAGGAAAAATTATGATCTCCAACAGGAAAGAGAACCTTCATCCAAAAAGGCCACTCAACCACAAATCTAAAACATTGCCGGGTAATCTACTTTCCACTCATTTTTAGTTAAATTTCAGTTCTCCCAATATCAGATCAATTATGATTGGAACCAAGAAGTTTTCTGTATTCCTAAAAGTGATATAATTTGCTAGGTCTATTACAAGACTTCTTTAATCAAGTCAACTGAAAAATAAATAAAGGTAGGGAAAAATAATCATTTGGTCACTATAATTTTGACTCAATTGTAATTCAGTCTTTGAACTTTGACTTGTTGTAACTCCGTCTTCATAATTTTAATTCAATTGTAACTCAATTCTTAAACTTTAACTTTTATAATTTAGTCCCTATAGTTTTAACCAATTAAATATTGGTCACTATTTCAAAAAACAAAATTATAAAAATTAAAATCCAAAATGAGCATATAAGGAAACAATGGATGTGGCATCTATTGAGGGAAAAGTGGTAGAAAATCGTTTGAGATGGTTTAGCCATATACAGAGAAGGCCGTAGTAGGCACCGACGAGAAGAATGGAACAAATGGCCTTAAGCCGGAAGGGGAAAACTAAAAAGAACATTCATGAAAGCTATTGAATGAGACCTCTTAGTTAAAAATATTCTTAAAAGCATGGTTAATATAGGGCACAATGGCATCATTCAATCTATATAACCGACTCTACCAAATGAGTCAAGGCTTGTTGTTGTTACTGTAATTTTTATAATCTTTATAAATATTAAAAGGGTTTAGTAATTTAAAATACCAATCCTAAATTTTAACATAATTTTAATATTTATAATTTTATTTCTTAAAATATAGGGACCAATATTTTAAATGGTTAAAACTACAAGGATTAAGTTACAAGAGTCAAAGTTTAAGGATGGAGTTACAATCGAGTGAAAAATATAAGGACCGAGTTACGAGTTAAAGTTTAGAGACTGAGTTACAACTGAATCAAAAGTACAAGGATCAAATAATTAATTTTCCCTAAAGAATAACCACTGTTAGCATTTGGAAATATCCCTATCATCATTTTTCTTTTTGTAAAGCATTAGAAATATCCTCTACCAGCAACAAAGACTAATCACCTGTGAGTTAAGTTTGCTCTGTACACTCAACCACTTGCTTAAGGGACAAAATTCCCTAAACCCCCCCCCCCAAAAAAACAAGGGCCAAAAAAAAAAAAAAAACACTAACCTGAGTTGGTTTTCCTATCATCTAATCCTAATGTTTTTGAAGAATACATCATTTTAGTCATGGCCTTAACTCAGTTTTCCTTGGTCAAGACTAAATAAATGGCAACACTGAAGGACTATAATGATGGTGGTGGTATCCTTCAAGAACCCATGTGATAGTTTACTCTATATAGCACTTCCTTTTGGCAAATCTTGGGAGATAACATGCTTAAAATTTGCAGTCCAAAAGAAAGCCTCAAAATTTGAATCACACAAAATTACAAAAGGTAAGAGAAGAGAAATTCCTTACATCTGATCTGGCATCTACAACAATTCCAAGAATAGAATCTTCTACATGGGGCACATACTGTTCAACAAAGGATAATCATAAAATCAGAATAATGAAAAGAAGATAGAACTTTTTTCCTTGGAAGAAAAGGAAACAGTTGACTGCCAGTTGCACGTAAAAGAAAGGGTTAGTTTTCTGAATAGGAGTTAGTTTTCTGGCTGAATGCAAGTAATTACAATATTGGATGCAGAAGTTTAGCAACCATACATTAATACAGGCGTATATATAAAGAGTGGTGCACGTTATACACACACATACATATATAAACAAACCTTTAACCTGATTGTAGCTTCTAGTGGAAAGTCAGATTTTGACTTCCTAACGAAATGATATGCAACCTTTGACACTTATAAAATCATCTATATCCCCAATAAAGTTGAAATTTTGAAAGTATTCCTTTAAGGATATTTCTTCCACCAGGCTCAGGTTTAGCATTGTTTGGTCATGGTTATTTCACAAGATGCACATAGGCCCTTTTCAAGTTACAGCAAACCCATATCAAAGCTAAATACACTTGACATTTTGGCACAAGTTAATGGGTTTGGGACAGTGAAGAAAATGATGTTGGACAAAGTCAAAATGGAGAAGTTGTATCGATATAGTGCACATGCAAGTCAAAAAACGAGCCTTCACAGTTAAGACATTAATACATGGATACAACTAAAATAACATACCCTTTTCTGAGAACCTTCAACCCAATATTTATTAGGTTTTGAGAATCTTAGCCTGCCAGCCTTCATTGCTGAAATTGCATCACAATCCTAGCAAATACATACCACCACTAAGAATCAGTTATACCAAGAATTGAACAAAATGAGAGGGAAAAAAGAAGAATTATAGATTATTTCCTTTCTTTTCATGTCTTGTAGGACCTTGAATTTGGAGATTGGAAGATAGGGACAGAACATATAGGTTCATATTATAAGGACTGCTGGAGGTATGATGGATTGAAATTATTAGATGTAACTATCATCAGTTTCAATGACATGAAAATATAGAGCTAGTAAATAAAGCATCCAATCTCTCTATTTATGAATAAAAGAAGAAAAGACAATTTAACAATTTATAACATGTTTATGTGTGTACTATTTACTGTGTCTAGGTCCTCAGGCTCTAGCCAATAACAAGGGAAAAAAAAATAAAAAATAAAAACACCAACGTCACAAATAACTATAAATGTGTGCAGAGTAGTAAAATCTACAAATAAAAACTCAAGAAATTAAAGGACCCATGTAAAAATAATGTTTACATTTGATACAAGACGACTTTGAAACCTTCCCTGAAGACTTATAGTTATGCATCCAAAAAATAAATACATTCTCATGCTTTATCAAATGATGACAGAAGAAATAATGAGAAGGTCATCTCAAAGACCAGAAACCTCATAAACTTTAATCTTAACGATAAATCCAAGAAGGAAAAAAATAAAAATCAAACATCAACTCATTGCTGGTCAGACAAGGAAGATTCTGTGAAACAAAACATGTAGCTTATTTCAGCATATTTGCTAGTTGTGTGGGTGCGTGCGTGCATGTCTATGTAGTGTGTACATTACCATGAAGCAGATACCCATGCCCCCTTGAAAAGTGATGACCAACACACACTTATCATTCTCATAACTGCATTAAGTATTAGAAAACCAGAGACTTGCCTGGTATAGACCACCTCCAAGCTTAATTGTTTGGTTTGACATGGTAGAGAGATCAAGAACCACATCTCCAGGAACCTATAGAACAATTAACAGGAAATACGGATAACAGTGAAAAAATGCACTGCATTGTTTTTTAGTTACACGAGAGGTGGCTTAGATCATTATTAAAATGAAGGCAGGAGAAAATGGGTAACACCAAGCACTCACCACTAATTGGTCTATCAAGCTTGTGGATAAAGTAGATGATTTATTTTCCATCGAATCAAATAAAGGAAAGATGCACACCGCCTCTTCAGAAGTTCCAATAACTCTTATTTCTACTGTAGACAACAAACAGCAAGCTTCTTGTTACCACATAATATCAAGGAGGGGATGGGGATCTAGTATGTTAAGAAACTTGGGGAAAAAACCATAACGGCGACACAGGGTACAGGTGTGCAGCAGCATATTTCAACAAGTGTAATGGAGCAAAGGGCAAATAAATGTCTCTGACACCACAACAGAGTACATGAAAGCTTCCAAAACAGGATGTCAACATTATGTTTTGAAACTGGATTACATGATTTAAGAAACTCAACAAACTTATAAGATAACTTCAAAATCTATACAATATATGATCTAACCAATACTTAAGACAATCAACAATGGGAAAAGTCATAATAAATGAAACCAATTACCTTCAAAATCAGCAGCCTAAGTTCCAAACAAGTAGTAAGTTAAATACTCAACAAGAGTAAAGGATTTATTTTTCCAACTACTATCTAAAACATTGTTTGGTTTGGTCTCTGAGAAAATAATGCTACAAGAGCTACTCCGCCTCTCTTCCCTCTTTCCTTCATTTGTAAATCACTGTCTCAAAAAGCTGTTCCCTTTTTTTCCACATAGATATATATACAGTACAAATAATTGTTAAACCTATAGACTATCCGAGCAACTGAGCATTGAGCAAAAGAGGGCAAACAATAGGACAGAGAAAATGTATCAACCTGATCCTAGAAGATTCTGCCCGAGAGAGTTAACATAGTTAACGAGCGATATATGAGTTTATGTTTCTGCAGGGCGTTGGCTGCTGCGTTGTGCTGAGAGACCGAGCGAAAGAAGCCCAGTGCTACGGCTTGGGAGCGACGGCGAGGACTCAGATGGCGAAGACGACGGACTCACGGCACGCTGCGTGTGCGAGAGTGAGATTTCAGTGGGGTTAAGGGGTTAGAGACCACGCACGAGCTGGAGGCTGGGCGTTCCTTTACTTCGGTCTCTCTCTCTCTCTCTGGGAAAATTATATTAAAGGGTCATCATCTAAAACGGCGGTCTTTTTTGTTCCAAATTTTTATATGAAGAATTAATAGGCATTTTAGATTTAAATAAGAGTCTATTTTATTCCCGAACGTTGGAGACAAGCTTCATCTTTACCCTATTTATTAAAAAATTAAAAATCAGATTGATTATCAAATTAATTGAGGCATTGATTTATGAGTTAGGCGGAAGTTAAATCTACAACAAATCTGTCATTATAAAAATAATAAAAATTAATTATCAAAATATTTATTAATATTTAATATTAATGTCTTATATAAGACACAAATATAATAATAATTCTGATAATAATAAATTACTAATATTTCAAATATTTACCGATACAAGTTTCCTACTTGAATTTTAATCTTGGATAATATTATCTATAATATTTAAATATTTTATCATACAGAGTTATCTATCTTATATCATATTTTATAAAAATAGTTTAGCTTTCTTGAGTTCTTGCGTGTAATTTTAGACTTCTTCTTGTTATTTCTTTGCTTGGTTTGTGCAACTAAGGTCTATTGGCTGCCTTTTCTACCATAAAGAAATAGTTACTTTTAACGAGTTCTTTATTATTGAGAAAAGTAAAAGCATTTGTTTTCAATTTCGGCTAACACAGTCCTACATGACCTTCACACTTCTATTCTCCTCTCAACTTTTTGGGTTCAGATGTTCATTTCATTCTTTTTTTTTATTTTTTTAAAAATCCCAAAAATGATGATGTTTTGGAGTTTTGGCAAACAAAATATGTAACCCGGCTAACCCGTCCAACCTATCAGGTTACACCCAGGTTGATTGGGTTACCTCCGAGTTGATATTTCCCCAATTTACCTGGTAAACTAACTTAACCAATTAGTTGGTTCACCGGGTTATCGGTTGAACTGGTCGGTCCGGTTCAATTTTTCATTGATTGCTACTAACAATAAGAGAGGATTATCTCCTCTTCCTTTTCATCCTCATCCCTTCTTTTTCTTAATTTCTAACTTTTTTTTGAGCAAATTCTTAATTTCTAACTATTAAATTAAAATTTTAGATCATTCTAATTTAATCTCCTTTAAAATATTTCAATTTATTTTTTACTTTTACTGTACTTTTAAATTGTTGTTATTAAATTTTAGTAGTTTGAATTTTCTTACTTATATTATTTATAATTTAATGTTTTATAAAAGATCAAATATGAAGAGTCTTGATCTAATGACTACAAAAGGAAAAGAATGAAAGAGGATGAGAAGGAAGATAAGAGAATCCATTCCCGCTAGTAGGCCTTACATCTTGATGAGCCAGCTTTTTTAATATTTTTTATAATAAAATATTCTAAAAACTAATTCTCTCTCCTCCATTGCAAATGTAGCCATCCTCTCTCCTCCATTCTGACATCGATAGCCATTCTCTCTCCTTTATGTACATTAAGGGGGTGTTTGGTTAGAGGGCCCTCTTCCCTCCAAATTGGGGGGATTGGAAGGGGAAGGGTAAAATTTGTCATATCATGATCAATATGCCCTCTATGATAAGTTCAAAAGATATAGATGCACTTCTCTAGTATCTCACACACTAATAAAATGAGGGTAAAATTGTCCATATATAATGATTTTTCCTCCCTTTCTCTCCTGAATCAAATAAGGTAACACCAAACCCCTCCTTTCCCTTCCCCTCAAACCAAACACACCTTAAACATCTCCGAAACTGAGCCATCCTGTTGCTCTCCTCAATCATCTCTCCTCCATGGCCGTTGAGCATGAAGTCTTCAACTCTGACTACTACTATAGCGTCTCCATAAAGATAACGTGTGAAGTGATTGATGAGGTTAAAGCTTTCGGTGAGCCATTTCCTTGGTGAAACATATAATTGAGCCCCTTCATCTAATGCATACTTGCTAAGTTAGCTTATGGCACTCGCGAATTCCTTTGTGTTCGACGTCTTCTTGTCTCCCATCTCTCCATAATCGCTTAAGAAGATAAACCAAGAGAAACCAAGTACAGAGGAGCAAGGAGCTCAAATGTAGCTAGGCACTTTCAACACAACAATTATAGATTTTAGAGTAACTCTAGATTTACAACTCTAGTTAACTTCTCATGACCCTTTTGCTTTTTCTTTCCACAATCTTTACTTTTCTCCTTTCACTACTACAAAATAAGCTTATATGAGCGCTTTTTTTTAGCCTTAGGGAGCCCTTTGGAAGCACTCCCGTATCGAGCGCTCTGAAACATACGGGAGCCCTTTACAAAGCGCTCTTGTATGTATTATATACAAGAGTGCTTTTTGATAAGCTCCCATATATCTATGACTTTCAGATAATATACAGTAGTCAAGAGCGCTCTCATATGTTGATATTTAGGAGCGCTCTTTTTAAGAGCCCTCCTATATGTCAATATACAAGAGCGCTTTTTAAAAGAGCGCTCCCGTATGTCGATATTCAGGAGCGCTCATTATACAAGCGCTCCTATAAACCATATTTATTTTTTTAATATACATTTTTTAAAATTTTTTCCTTTATGTCTCTTTAAAAATGACTAATATCAATATAAAAAACTAATCCAAAAACAATATAAACATAAAAATTTATATACAAGGAAAGAACTTGAAATGTAAACAACAATTTCAATTTCCTAACTAGTTAGTTTAATTTCCAACAAGCCTAATAACAAATGAAACTATTAGTATTTTTTTAACATTAAAATCTAATTTTCTATCACAAATAGCCAATAATATATTCTGACTACTCTTCAATTAAATCTTCTATTTGCTCTATAGTAAAATGCGAGGATTTCGTTCTAACAAAATATTGCATAAGATATGAAAGCAATATATAAGTAATTAAAATTATATTAATTTAATTTTAAAACTTTTGGCTTACATTTTTAGGAATAGTCAACTCTTGTTGTGTGATTACTTCTCTCATAAACTTCATAACATAGTATTCGTACTTCCAACCTCGTAATTGTGTAGGTACCTATAAAATAATAAAAGATATCATTATCAAAATATGATAGAAACAAATTTTAACTTAATTTAAAATACTTTAGGAATGAATTTATATATATAATACAAGTATTTGTTTTCGAAAATCTGGCAGAGCCTGTCCTATAACTTAGAAGTTTTAAAATTTTTCAAAAATTCTACATAAATCCAGAACAGCATATTCAGAATAACAAAAATGAAACATCAATCAAACAATCATTTAGATACATACCAACTTGCTTTATTAAAAAAATAATACAAACCTTTATTCTTTTTCATGTATAAAACTCAACAAGATCAGGTCTTTTGGTGTTTGGAGGGAGACCTTCACCACCTTGATAATGTGCTAAAGTCCTATAGTCATTAAGCATTACAAGTAAAACCTATTGTTATAATAAACATATATAAAGAATATAGAACTAAAAACTTACTGATTAAATAATATCCTCGTAGATTTATAGTTCTTAAAGTCACTATCTCTTAATAAGTCAAGATAATAAATCATAGGGAGGAATGGATTGATACAAACAAGCACCCAATATTGCCTAAAAAATAAAATATTTAATTAACTAAAATGTCAACTAAATTTAAAGATGAATAACAATAACACTTGGTCAGGATTGTGAGGAGCTAAAAATAACATATTTCTCTTACCTTTGGCTTTGAATGCGTTGGTAATATTTTGAGAATGATATTCAATATTGTAGGTACTAGTGTTATGAGAGCTAATAAATAAAAATTTTGTTATCATTAAGCCCGGCACCATAAAAGTATGATACAAGTACCTAAAATGAAAAAATAAAAATATTCACAACTAATATTAAATAAATACCATAATAAATAATAAAATTTAAAAAGTCCCTAATGTGTAACTAATTTGTATGGTCTGTAGCCAATCGTTGATCAGAATCTCATTAATATTTTTAGCTGTTAATTTTTCATTAATTATTTCACCATAAGTCTCCTTTTCAAATTCTACTTCACAAATCTTATTTTTAAATGTTGTCCACATAAGCACTTCAAATGCATTTTGATGAGGATATTTTAGCTGAGTAGATTCTATACCGGTCTTCCCTACCTTAGTTACAGATGTAGATCCTTTTGATGGCTTTCTTTTTGCTTTGATTGGCTTCCTCACTATTTCTTTAGATTTTGAGGACTACAAAATGTAAAATTAATTGGTAAGGCCAAAAGAAAACATTAATAATTTTAAAGAACTATCAATTATTATACCTGTAACTTAATGAGCTTGTAGGCCAAGTCATGTGAGTTCTAATGGCATCAAAAATCATGAAGATATCCTTATCTTTTGTTTGCACTAGCAACTCAGCATCATTTTCTATTGAAAAAGTTATAATCACCTTTAAGTGATCAGCAGGTAATGGTCTGGAGTGTATAGTAACACTTTTATCACACTACTAGAAAAACTGGATTTAGTAGGGAGAAAATCCCTCTCTAAATGCCTTATTTCCCTCGCTAAATTATATTTAGTAAATGATTTTGGCCCTTGCTAAATTCGTTGCAAAAAACGAGCTTACTAAATTTAGCGAGGGACTAGTATTTCCTTGCTAATCCCTCGCTAAATGGGATAAAATTCTAAATATTTTAATGAGGAAATAGTGAGGCTGATGCCCCTTACTAATATTGGCGATGAAACTCTCCCTCACTAATTCATCACTAAATTGGTTAAAATTTCACCATTTAATGAGGGATAGATCCCGTACTATTCCCTCGCTAAATGGGACACGAGTTACACTTTAGCGAGAGACTTTATCTCTCACTAATCCGTCGCTAAAACCTTAAAATTTTTTAATATAATCCTTTACTAATTCCTCACTAATTTAATTTAGCAAATCCTAATTTTTTAATATATTGGTTCCTATATAACCACACAACTAATCATCCATCCAACTTTTTAATCATAAACGAAAATCACATTAATATAACAAAAAATTAATACTACATTATTTATAGTTATAAAGTTCAAGCTAGTTCATGCATGGAGAGTTGAGCAAAATATAAATAAGTA